TGGTACTTTTTGAGTTAAATCATACACTTACGTACAAACAGCACGGGGTCCGCGATCTACCGCAGGTAAATTACCTATCTGATAATGTACTGTTGCAATTCAGAATTTTTATTCCGGGCAACAGAACAGTTACCTAAGATAAATCTATAACATCATACACCGAATATTAAATAACGCATTGAACAATGTTTGAGTCATATAGAGTTGGTACATTTAACGGGAAACGAAGTGCACGGGATCAGCTAGTAATAATAATAATAATCATACTGATTGAATATGTATATTATATTATTCTGTTTAATAACAAATCGTCTATGTATATAATAAGAGGTTTGTTTGTTCTCGTGGCAACGAATTAAACCGATTTACTTAAATTATTTTTTTTTTATATTTCTAGACCTAATCAGTTCATACTGCGTCGCTAATGGCAACCATTTATAAACAAAAATTAAAATCTAAAATCTCAAAATTCCCGTTTGAGCACCTCCCGGGGTTGGTCATCTTCCTTTTTAAATTAGCCTACCTTTTAAGTTCGGCCAAATTACACACACTGTAAAAATGTCATCAAGATCGGTCCAGTAGTTTGGAGTTTATCCCGGACAAAGACGAGATTTATAATATGTAGGTACTAATATTAGTAAAATACAATATATTAGGTTATATTATTTTTTGCCGAAAACATCGTATTTATTTTAGTATAAATTAATAGTAGTATATGTATTTATAATTAGAATAGTGTTAATATAATATAACATTATGTAATATAGTACGATACAATTATTGTATAGTGATAAAACAAAATATTAAACGATATGAGGTTGCATTGACAATTCTTTACAGTGTTATTACGATTTACATTTTATTTTAATTATAACTTCTGTATTATAAACTATAAAGCTTCCAAATTAAAACCTTAGTTACAGCTAACTATCCTCAATGTTTACACGTTTTAATAATTAAATTTCTAATTTATCTTCTGAGATATTTATTTTTTTTTTAAATGCTGTCAAAGTAACCTACTTTTATGAAAACAAATTAAATTATAATGTTACCCTGGTGAATAAAAATAGAAGTGTATAAAAGCAGCAACTTAAAATCAAACCTCTTTACATTTAGGTAACTCTGTTTCTTTACTTTTAGATAACTCTGTTTCTTTACTTTTAGGTGACTCTGTTTCTTTAATTTTCTGACGAATATCAAAGAGTCTCTTAAGAGAATCTTTGTATTGCGGGTCTGTAGAAGCAAAGTTACAAAATGATGGAATAATATCTTCAGTAGGTATTGGTTCTGTAAAATAAATTAGTATTAGATTTATTGATTTTGTTCATTAGAATGCCCTTTAACAAACGAGTACAAAACTCGATTTGTTTACGTTTATAAAGATCAATTTTTATCCCACAAACCAGGCAAATATTTATTCAACAGAAACCCATTTTATTGTAATTATTTTTTCCACCAAAATATTGGAATTCTGTTCTATTTTAAACTAAAAATGTAAGACTTCCCGTTTTATTGCTTATGTAAATAAAATTACCAAGAAACTTTCAAACAAAAATAAGCTAAAAAGATCAATTAATTAAAAAACTCAATAAATGTTTCTTACCATTCAGTTCAGCTGAATAGTTACAAAAAAAAAAAAAAATCAGCTGTAATTATTAAACTTATTAACTGTCAATATATATTAAATATTGAAGGTCCAGACAGAGACTATTGTAAGTTCTGTTAATTATTAACACAATTGTTTTAATGCTATAATTGCTCTACAGGGTATGTTTAGCCAACTTTTATACCAATACTCTTACTTGAGACTTTGCAAATAATTCAGTCTAATAATTATAGTTAACTTTAACTGTTAAATTTAACCTGTTATGAATGTTATGATAGTGTTATTTCCCTCCAATTGCTTTGGTGATTCTAGGCTCCTTGACTGGTTAATGTTGAACTGATAGTAGGCAGATGTTGAGTAATCAGTCTATTGTTCAAACTTGCCGCTATTCTACTAAACCGTTAAAAACCGGTCCGCTTGACGTTTATAGGTCGAATATTCTAGATATTCCCCTCTTCTCCCTATTGTTATTTTGTCACACGGCAATGGCAAGTCACCAGCGGCGACAATCAACTGTCTTTTTCCAGTACTCCCGTTAGAAATTTGGCTGGAAAGTTCACTTAAATGGCCTAATAAAATGATCAACGTTAATAATCGGTGTGTAAACGATTTTAAACCAATTTATTCAGAAATTCTATCGTTTATATCGGTTTGCTCCCACATTTAAAATATATTTTCATATCACATAGTTAATAGCCGGTCAACTGTGAAAGTATAATATAATTAGAGGAAATATTAAAATAAGGAGGTAATGAATAGGTTGTGTTTTGTTTTTTAAACCAGCTTGTTATGGTGGTCTAAGAAAAAGTGAGTCTTATTTGAAATCTGTTTAAATCAGCGAACTTCTTAAAACCAAACCAATTTATTTACATTATAAGGGGAAGCTTAAACTGGTTTAGCCTAATGAATTTCTAGCAAGTGTGTTGTTGACGGTCTATATTTGTCATTATTATGATAGGCACGCGATTCTTGATACAGAGAAGCTAACCGCGTCATCATATCATAGCGGTGATACGAAGTATCGTAAACCAGTCTGTCGAGCAACGAGTGTGCTGCGATAATGCGTAGTTTCTTGTTTTTTGCGTTAAATAAATTTGTCATACAGTCCACAGAAAAATAATAGTTTTAATTTCGTATACAAAACAAAGCGAGTAAACCGTACGTCGTTTTGCATCCAGGTGTTTGCTACATTTGCGAACCCCTCGTGGTGCGTTACTAGTACACACAATATTATTGTATGTTTTCGCAGATTGTGTTATTCGACTTTCGTGTCGACTGCCGTGTTGCGTTTTGCCGCTGTCAGAGTCTAGTAAAGTAAATTAGATCAAAAATCGACAAAAATCGGAAAAAATTCTCCCCCAACTGAATTTTGGTATACACTTAAAATGTACCTTTAAAATTAACATACTAAAAGTCATGACGCCTAACCACTATGCGTATCTCTCCACCCCCTAAAAATCTACCCTCCCACTATTTTTCTTATAACTCGTTAACCTTTGAGCTCACTTACAAAAAAGTATGGGACCAAAATTAAAGACCTTATAATTTACTTGAAGAATATAATATAGTAATCACTTAAATTGTATCGTGGTAGTTTTAAGAAAACTATGGATTGAAAGTTTCAAACAAGATTCTACGTAAGTAGTTAATTCTGTTACCAAAAAATCTAAAAAATACATTAGAACAGTTTATTTTTATAGTCATTTTAAGTTCAACTTTCGACAAAATTACATAAAAAAAACCTAGAATAACTATTTTAGTTATTTCGTGGTGATTGTGTAATATTATTCGTAGGTACTTGAAACTTCTAAAGTACACTATTATATTATATCAATGGAGTATGGACTTTGATAGTATCAGGGTTTGTTGTTGACGTATAACGCATTATAAGTACCTAATGGATATTGTGATATGATTAATTTGGAATTTATTATAAGTACCTATTTTAGGTAAATTTTTTTAATACGATAGAATAGTATAATATAATATGTTTTATACCTAGACTGACATACCGTCTCCGCTCAGGATCTTTTTTCTCATACAATTATATTATATCTGTTACGTAACATTTAGTTATCACGATTGTTATCAGTCTTATCATTGTAAGGTTATGTACCATTGTACCAATGTCGCAATTATGTTTTTTTTTTGATATACACAACCACACTTTTGCTCAAATGAATTATGAAATATACAGTCCACACACGATGAATAAAACCGATGACTTAATTCTTTTTTTCGACAACATTTATGGTCCAAACGAGTCGGATCGGTTTTTTATTTTATCATACATGTACGTTCGGTAAAGTGCGTTCGTGTCATAAAGTGCGTTCGCGAAGTTTGGTTTTGCGACTACCTAAGTCATTACATAACTTAGCTGTAAGCACGTGCAAACCACAGGTACATCATGGACAAACTACGTCGCGTTTTAAATAATAAAAGAAAATTAATAGAGAAGAAGCACAAGTCAAACACATTTGAAGTGCTGAGTACATACAACACTAATGAAATCACTACACAAATTGAGCTATTAGAAAATGCGTTTAACACATATGTTAAGACACATGATGAATTAGCTCAAGAGCTTGAGGAGGATAGTGAAGTAGACAGTCTCATTGACCAGTTTGAGAACGTGTCAAGTACATACATGAGAGTGAAAGCAAATCTCAAAAATATGATATCTGAAAGGAATCCAACAGAGGTACGTGACATGAAAAAATACATCAAACTACCTCCAATAAACCTACCAAAGTTCAGTGGTAAGTTGGAGGAATGGTATACCTTTAAAGACCAGTTTGAAACTATGGTACATAATAATCAAAACATTGATAATACACAAAGGATGCATCATCTGAGGAGTAGCTTGATCGGGCAAGCAGCATCAGTCATATCATCAATGTCATCTGATGCTCATAGTTATATAGAAGCATGGAATCTGATCAAAGGTCGGTTTGACAACAAACATCTAGTGTTTCAAACACATTTACATTGCTTGTTCACACAACCAGTCGTACAAGCCGAAGCACCGAACATGTTGAAAACGTTGATCGACACAACTAACAATCACATACGAACATTGAAGACATTGGGACGCCCTGTTGATCATTGGGATGACGTAATAGTACATACAGTAGCAACTAAACTGCCACCTGATATACGTAAGACCTGGGAAATTGAGTCAGCAGGACAGGCAGATTTTCCAACGTGGAAAACATTAAGCGCATTTGTGGAAGGGTGCATACACGCACTGGAGGTCATGCAGTTTCGACAAGGATCTAGTGGTAAGATTAAACAGTTATATAATAAAACTGCTGTCCATGCAGTCGTGGCGCAGAAAGAAGTAAAAACCAAATGTCAGATTTGTTCATAACCTCATAGCATTTACCAGTGTGAAATGTTTATGAAAGCATCGGTTAGTGAGCGACAACTTATGGTAAAAAAATCACAATTGTGCTTGAACTGTCTACGTGTGGGGCATTCACGTTCAGTCTGCTCCATGGATAAAGTGTGTAAAATGTGTGGTTTCAAACATCATACATTATTACACAATGTAACAGCCAAACAACATTTTTCAGAAGAAGATCCAGGATCCACATCGAAAACTACTGTCAATAATGAAACAGTAAGTTCCACAACAATCATAGATACTACCGAGGCGGTCGTTGCACATGGGATGCCACGCTCTCCAGCAGTGTCATCCGTACTTCTTTCCACTGCACTTGTCCAAGTACATGGGTCAAACGGTAGGACAGAACTATGTAGAGCGTTGCTAGACTCAGCCTCACAATCCCACTTCATAACAAGCAGCTTGGCCACCAGACTAGGACTACAACGTGTCAACTGCCCTGTAACGGTAGAAGGCATTTCAGACGCATCTACCAAGATGTCTGAGATGACATTTCTGAGTGTGTCGTCTAGGATATCCGACACAAATTATAGGTTGACTGCCATAGTCACACCTCGGGTCACCGTGGATTTACCCACTAAGAGATGCAGCGTGGATACATGGACACACTTTAAAGATGTCTCTCTGGCAGATCCTAACTTCCATGTACCTGGACGCATTGATCTATTAATAGGAGCTGAAGTATTTTTGGACTGCATAAAAAACGGTAAGATCAGTGGACCTGCAAATACACCCACACTGCAGAACTCCAAATTTGGCTGGATTGTTTATGGCACTACTGAAATGCAATCAAGTCAACAGACACAATTGCCAAGTATAGCTAGCCGTGTGGTCACTAGTTGTGCCATTACATCGTTGGACAGAACATTAAGAAATTTTTGGGAACTGGAAGAGGTGCCACGACTATCCACGATGTCAGCAGAAGAAAAAATGTGTGAAGAACACTATCAGAACACACACACAAGGGACAGCAGAGGACGATATGTACTACAGTTGCCTTTTAAGAAAGATATACCTAGTAACAATAACTCATACTTAAATGCACTTCGACGCTTAAACCAAGTGGAGGCTTTCTTGTCCAAACACACAGACATCAGTATTCAATACAAGGAGTTTATGCGAGAATATCAAGATTCAAATCACATGGAAAAGTACTACCACATGACGAGCACCAACCAGTGACTTACATACCTCATTACCACATCTGCCGGCCAACGAGTACCACTACAAAACTTAGAGTGGTTTTTGATGGGTCCAGTATCATGGACAGTGGTCTGGCATTAAATGACTATCTACTAAAGGGACCTAAACTCCAAAAGGATACTATTTGTATTTTAATAAATTTTCGGTTTTCTAGGTATGTCTTCAGTGCCGATATAAAGCAAATGTTTCGACAGATGCTCATACATCATAAGCATCGTCCATACCAGTGCATACTCTGGCGCAATGAGCCAACTGGACCATTTAAACACAGTACCATACGGGATGGTGACGTCACCGTATCAAGCCCTTCGCACGTTGAGACGTAGGATGAAGAGGCCACCTATCCAGTCGCGGCCAAAGTGTTGAAACGTGATTTTTATGTGGATGAGGTGATGACCGGTATGGATACAACCGACCAATTATTATGTCTTCAACAGGAGTTGAATAGTCTACTGGAACGTGGTGGATTTCAGCTACGGAAATGGGCCAGTAATTGTCCTGCCATTCCAGAGAAAGTACCATTGGAGCATCGCGTCACACATCTCCCTCTACACAACGATTCGGATACGGCCGTCAAATTGTTGGGTGTTTCCTGGAATGCCACTAAAGACACATTTTCTATACAAGCCCGTGACATGGAAGCGAGTGGACCTGTCACAAAACGACAGATATTATCTGATATTGCACGCATTTATGATCCCTGTGGTTGGCTTTCACCCTTGATCGTCGTAGCCAAGCTTTTGTTACAACAACTTTGGAAGGAACAGGTCAGCTGGAATGATAAGGTATCAGAATAACTTGCTGCTGCGTGGCACTCACATCGTTCGTCATACAAGCATTTAGTAGCCTTTGATATACTGCGTTATGTCAACACATCAATAGATTCTGTCACATTATATGAAATACATGGCTTTTGTGACGGCTCTGAAAAAGCTTATGGTGCTGCTTTTTATGTTGTCACCAAGTCCACAGTTCTAACTTCAACCCTACTGATGTCTAAGACCAGAGTTGCCCCCCTAAAGAAGATTTCCATTCCACGCGCGCGTGGCGCCACGTCTGGAATTGTGCAGTGCTCTGCTTTTTGCTCAACTCATACAAGCGCTTGTCCCGTCATTAAACATCAAGGTTGACAGTATACATATATGGAGTGATTCAATGGTAGCTCTTCACTGGATTACGGGAGAACCGTTTCGCTGGACTACATTTGTGGAAAATCGTGTGACCCAAATCCAACAAATGGTGCCAACTGCCATATGGCGACATGTAGCTTCTGAAGATAACCCAGCAGATGTAGCATCAATCAAAGAAACCAGCTGGCCACCTTCAACACTACCAATTCTCACATCCCTACCTGAAGAACGGGACACAAATACATAAGTAGCGTTACCCACCGTGTTAGTAACGGATTTATTATTACATCATTCTAATTTAGAACGTTCATTAAGAGTTACATCTTATGTGTTCCGTTTCATAAGAAACTGCCAGTCACCTACACTTCATCGAAAGATAGGACTCGTCAGTGTCAGCGAACGGAAACAGGCACTTTACTTTTGGATAAAACATGTCCAACAAATTGAATTTTCAGTCGAGCAAGACTGCCTACGTTGACAGGTCCCTGTGAAGAAGACTAGCCCACTCAACAGCCTGAATCCGCGTATGGACAGCGACGGTATGCTAAGAGTTGGCGGCCGACTAGATCGCTCCACGATTTCTTACGAGCAAAAGCATCCAATTATTTTGCCAAAGACTCATCATCTCACTGAGTTAATCATACGCCAAACATATAATCTCAACTTACATTCAAGCCTAAACGTCACTATGTCCATCTTACGCCAAACGTATTGGATAATACATGCCAGAAATACTATCAAGCGAATCATACACCAATGCATTAGCTGTCATCGTTTTCGCTCGATTCATAGTCAACAACTCATGGTGGATCTTCCATCATCGCGTGTCACTATCTCACCTCCATTTACACGCTGTGGGATTGACTACGCGGGTCCATTCATCACTCGCCTACCATCAGGACGTACCCGGACCACTTTCAAGAGGTATCTGGCTTTATTTGTGTGTCTCACCACAAAGGCTGTCCATCTGGAGACCGTGAGCAACCTGACTACTCAAGCGTTCATTGCTGCTTTGCGACGCTTCGTCTCTCGTCGTGGATATCCATCTACCATTCTGAGTGACAACGGCACTAATTTTGTGGGTGCGCAAAACACGCTACGTGAAGTTTATGAGTTCTTAAAACTCCCCGAGTCCTTGGTACAGATTAATGCCTTTTGTTTGCCACATGATATCCATTGGGAATTTATTCCACACCCCACTTTGGAGGGTTATGGGAGGCCAACATCAAATCATGTAAGTCCATTCTCAAAAGAATTACTGGCATTCAGGTGTACACTCAAGAAGAACTGTGCACATTATTTATTCAGATAGAGGCAATTATGAATTCCAGACCTCTATGTGCGCTGTCTACTGACAGCAACGACTGCGATACTTTAACACCTGGGCATTTTTTGATCGGACGGGCTCTAACAGCTCTTCCAAGTGAAGACTACTCTACCACTCAGCCCAACAGGCTGACTAGATGGAATCTTCTGCAACAACAGCAACAGCGTTTCTGGAAGTTGTGGTCTTCGGACTACTTATTAACGCTGCAACACCGTCAAAAATGGAGAACACCTCAACAGGAATTTCAAGTCGGGGATCTTGTTGTCCTAAAAAATGAAAACACACCACCAAACCATTAGCCCTTAGCACGAATCACAGCTGTACACCCAAATGCACACGATCACTTGGTACGTGTTGTCACGGTCAAGACCCAAACCTCCACTTATACCAGACCGATCACCAAGATCATCCGACTCCCACTTCCGTCAGAGACTGAGGCACCTGTTGTGCCTATTGCCTAAATATGTATTAAGTAAATTATTTTGTTTATAAGGGAATGATTCTCCACTGTTATGTATTTTATACTTATATGTTATTTTTTTTTTATATATTATATGATTTATATTGTAATTTTTCCCTTTGAGACTGTCGCTCAAGGCGGGCGGTGTTACGTAACATGTAGTTATCACGATTGTTATCAGTCTTATCATTGTAAGGTTATGTACCATTGTACCAATGTCGCAATTTTGTTTTTTTTTTTATATACACAACCACACTTTTGCTCAAATGAATTATGAAATATACAGTCCACACACGATTAATAAAACCGATGACTTAATTCTTTTTTTCGACAACAATATCATTGAATTCAAATTTAATACTATCCATTATACAGTGGCCCACTTGTAACCTACTGTACAGCAGATCACCTTTTTTTTATTGCGATATATAAATATATAATTATGAACACGGAGAGCGCTAGCTGTACTTCTTTCTATTGAGAACAACTGTTTTTTAGGGATATACTGTGAGCATCACTCTGGAGACAAGTTTCTATACGTCATTGAGTAACCCGTATACCTTAATCTTAATAATTAAATTTATTATCATTACTATCACTGTTGCTGATTCTTATTTATTTATTATTATTATTATCAGTAAGTTAGTAACTTAGTTGTTATTATTATTTATTTTGTTGCAGTTGGAGTTGGTCGTGGATATGTATTCTCTAGCCATATTATATACCGTACTTGTTATTATTTTCACCTATTATTATTATTATTTATATTTAATCTGTCACCTACTGTCCTACTCACATCCAAACCTACCATATTTTTATTCATAGTTACTCGAACCAAATGCTAGGGAATAGCCGGGAACGCAACACTAACTATTACTGTTTAGAGAGGCAAAAAACGTTATCAATATAAATTTAAAAATCAAATAAAAATATAAAAATCCTAACATATTAATACACATGATTTATACATACCTTCATCTTCAGTATAATAATTGGGAACTGTGTTTTTCATTACTGTAAAAACAAACTACATTGTGACAGTTTCCTATTGGTATAATTCTTTATTATCATATAAGTAAATAACTCTGTTTTTTTAAATGCTAAACATTCTTTACAGTTTACATAAACATAAATAATAAATAAAAAAAAAAAATGTCAAATGCCCAATATATTAAACACAGACACAGTATTTATACATACGCGAATCGGTCTTCGTAAACTCTAACAATGCATCTAAAGCATCTACAAAAATAAAATATTCAATAAATGATAAATATATAAATTATACATGCCTATTTAATATTATCTATAAAAGAAATTGTAGGTTTTTTTTCTTTATTGGCCTGATGGACCATGGTAAATTAATTAGTGCCAGTGAATATACCCTGCCTTAAACTCCGTTAAATGTAAACTACGCGTATTTTTAATCATTCAGTCTAGTATACTAGAAAAAAAAACAAGAGTCTAATAAAAGCATAATATTATAACAATTATAACAGAATTAGAATGACTATTTATTTCCTTAAACCAAAACACACACTCACTCACATTACACACGAAATGTCCCTTTTAATAATATAGATTATGTTATAGTAAATCTTCACTATTCCGCTATGTTTGAACTGATTTGATCAATGAAGGATTATAATATTATTCATGATTGTCATAAAATATTATTGGACGAATAAGGTAATTTTACAATACCCAATACCTATATTGTTGAATATTTGGTTATTGATTGAGACAATTAGAATACCTATAATATGTATAGTAGGGTATAAACATTGTTGATTGTACCTATGTTGTATTCTTTATACGAATCAAAATATTAAGTAATTTCATTAATTTTTAGTGAAATTTAAATTTTATATTGTAAATTAAAGTAAATATATACATACTATGCACAACAATAACTAAAAATAAAAATAAAAATAACTTTAAATGAATGTAATATTATAGACTTACCGTTTAGTGAAATACATTAATAAATTTTGATTGATTTTAAAAGTTTAAGAACCCTAAGATATATAGGTCAACCTGGAGTCAGGACAATGATAGTAATAACTAATAGCCATACACAATCATGGGTGATGGCTTCTCATAACTAGATTTTTACTTATCGAATGAGTAATTTGATGAACATCATCATTACATGGATTATGAGACACAAGTCAACAACTGAGTTACAAAATAAAACAAATTAAAAAAATAAATAAATACAATATGCACATACTTCTTCTTTCTAAAAATAAAATAAATAAAAACACATAATAATTAATAAATAATATTATACCTTACCTATATGACTAACAATCTAAAAATTACAGGGATGACCCATATAATCATTGTCCTTCTACAAAATATACCATTACAAAGAATTTCTGAACGATCTATACCGATTTGGAGTCAAGCGTTTGCATGAAAGTTTATGTATTATTTTAATTTAATATAAGCTTAATGATACGCTACTTAAGTAATTAAAAAATAATAATATATCTAGGCATTTCAAACTTGGTATTATTTTTAGATATATCGATATTTGAATATGATTTCATTTTATTATCAGTGCAATGGATTTGAAAATTATAGTTTACAGTTGATAAATAGAAAACAATTAGACAGGAAATCCATAAATTTCTGACTTGAAATCTTTTAGGAAAAACACACTATAAGACATTCATATTTTACAAAGTTAAAGTCCTTACGTACCTCTTGTAGCTAGAATAATATAAAAACTAATAATTAATATTATAAGATCATGGATTCATGAATAGTATAAATATTTTAGATTCTTTCATCTAATATAATATGTATTATAATAGTATAAAATAAAATTATTATAAAAAATGACTTGCTTAGTAGCTCTAGAAATAAAATACAAGGTAGTAATTTATTAGTATAATTATAAAACTTTGGTAATATATTGTTATGATTAAAGAGGAATATCTAGTGGTTTGTTTGAAAAGTTTCCAATAAATGTACAGAATGACCAGTAGGACACCAACTTTGAAAATTAATAGTTATTGATAGAAATAAAAAAAAAAATCTAAATTTGATCATAATGTTGTTCCATTCCACAACACCAACTATGGTAGAAATGATCCCATTCACCGTATGATGCGTATTGGTAAGCACTATAAGCACCTATAAGCACTTATAAGCTTCTCTTAAAATGTTTTTATTAATAATAGTACAGCAATCTGTTAATTATTATTTTTTACTTTTTTTTTTTTATAATTGTCATTTATTTTGTTTATTCTGATCCATTATATTGCTTGTTTACTTTAATGATTATGTTATATTATTCAAATTTATTATTATTACTATATTAACTGTATTATACTATTTTGCTCCAAGTCCGTTCATAAATAAATAAATAATATTTATACCTAGTACTTTCATACATTACATTTACATCGTTTATTAATTATTTATAATATTATATTATTTACGAGTTTGTAGTACAGGTACAATTTTCATAAAAACTTCACAACTTACAAAAAAAAATTTCTATCTATAATTAGATTAATAAATTATAAAATCTAATTTTGTTAGGTCCCATCTATCTATAATGCTCAACGTTGCCAGAAATTATGCAGAATTAAGACAAATTTCATAAACATCGAGTTAAGAAAAATATTTTAGATAGGTAAGGTTAGATTAAATTAGGACCACTTTTGTATATAAAAGAAAAGTTATTGGAATCTCAAAGGATAACAAATACATGCTATAAGTATAGCTAGGTACATAAAGTGTAGCTGACCAAGTTACTATATATTCTTGTAAATATGATTTAAAACTCTTAAAAAACAATTTTAGAGAAGAAAAATATTGATTATGAAAATTCACCAAGAATCATTCAAACAAAATATAAAAATATCAATGAAATAAAAAACTCAATAAATGTTTCTTACTAGCTAATGCATCTGAATAGTTATAAAAAAAAAAAATGAGTTGTAATTATTAACCATATTAATTGTCAATTAATATTAAATATTGAAGGTCTTTGAAGATACTAGGATACATAATGTCAAATATTAACACAATTGTTATACCTAATGCTATAATTGATCAAAATGGTATCTGGGTATGTTTAACCAACTTTTATACCGATACTTTTAGTTGATACTTTGCCAATAATTCAGTCTAATAATAAATTACAGTTAATTTTAACCTCTAAATGGTTACGTGTCAGATAAACTGCTGTTTGACTGGTTAATGTTGAACTGATAATATGTAGGCAAAGGTTTAGTAATCAGTATACCGTGACTCTTAAGCATTTCACGTGGTTTCACAAGATCTTTCCAGTGAATTGCATCTGATTTTTACGTTACTAGCTGAAAACCCGGCGTTGCCTGGTAAAACAATTGTGATTTTAACTCCTTTTGGGTGTAATTCGCTCTCAGGTGGCGTTGCCAGTGAGTTTCTTTATGGTTATGTAAACAGTATATTATCAGGTAGGCAATCTACCGCTTATTGATACCTGTGGTAGATTGAGGTCACTATGAGATGGGAGATAAAATATATAATATATATTAGAACAGCTTTGTAGTTGAAAAAAAAATGTGTATACAGTGTACCTAAAATAGTATTGAAGTCATAGAGTTGATAATCCCGGATTTTTAGTAGTATTTAATATTTATATATTAATATATTTGGGAGGTTATTTTATCGTTTAAAATATAACTAGAGTATGAGATGCATGAGATTATTTTTATCGATAAACTTTTCGGAACAATTCTTATTGTTGACCTTCAGACAAAAAGGATAGGTTGCAGGTAGCTGGATACCCGTGGGCCGCCGTGCAGCACAATAATTATAATTGTTAATTTTTTTTTG